AAAATTACTAAAATTGGAGCTGATTGGCTTGCCATTGTATTGTAACTAAAAAACAAAAATATCCAATCTGTTTACTTCACATGAGTGTTATTTATTTATTATGTAATATAACATTCTACAGTATGTCCTTAGTGGTGGTAGTATCCACCAGAAAAAAAGAAACATGTTCTACTAATTTATTTCAATAATTTGCTTACACTGAATATAGTCCTGTGATATTTTATTCTTCCTACAAGTGGAACAGATTGTATTACCCTAATCAGTTTTTTTCTCCTGTTTTTCACTCTTTGTCTCCTCTTCTACCTAGTGACTTAAATAATCCCTGTACCCAAACTTCAACATTATAAAGATAAGGTATTATCATTTTCTTTTTTCTAGTGGAAGTGAAACAATTTTCTTTTTTTTTTTGGTCTTAGCTGCAGTTTCTTTCACTAGGCACTACTTTCTAAGCATACCAAAAAGTTCAATTGAACCTTTAAACTCTTCAGAACAAAGGCTTAGGTAGTGCAAAACACACCTATTGGGCCATACCCAGTTTGTAGACCTCTTCATACTAGCTTTCATGCTATTTCTGTGCTTCTACCATCAACTAAGTGTGCCTCATTAATTTCACAAATACTATTTTTTATCCAGAAAAATGCAATGTAATGGCGTAAAATGAAGTTACTGTGAACTAAATCTTGTAAGATCTTGTGGATATTCTCAAGATAGGGTTAAAACTTTTTGCCACCTCCTGTTTAGAAATTTTACCTCAGCTGCCTGTCATTCCTGTCTGACGAAGTTCATGTTGTTTCTTTGCTGTCAAGTGCTAGCTCCAAGGTAAAAAGCATAAATGTGTAGCTGTTGCAGTGTTTTTCAAAGAAATTATGGAAGAGGAAAGGGAAAAGAAATATTATTGCCCTCACTATAGAAAAATCTACTACAGAGAAAGCAATGGGCAAGTGACAAATACTGAGTTGTGAGGATAAATCCCCAAAAATTCTATGAAGCTATATCACAGAAGTTGCAAACTCAAATGTATTTTTTTTATTATTCTTTTGTTAAAAAGACCCAAAATGTCTGATTTCCATTGTACTAAAGCCATTAAAAAATTTGCCTTTAACTTCCTGATAATTACAGCACATGAATTAGGGATGTATTGGCAACTGGTGGTTCTTTATAGAGCACATGGTTTTGGATTATTTTCTTAGACTCTTCCAGAGTGTGCTTTCTTTAAAAGCTACATGACCCATTGGATACTGTCATCCTAAAATTCTGAAACATAAGGGATGTAAAGGACTAGAAATCAGTGTCCTGTCAATTACCACCTAATTTAATACAATTTAAAAGTTCATGGAAAGGCAAATAGTTCATAGCTGAATTGAACAACTGAATTGAAAATTCCTACTTGGAGCATTAGCAAGAAAAGAAGCAGCAGCTTGTTCCCTTTTTAAATGGCTTTTGCCAGCCATCCAAATTGGCAAGAAAAAGATGTAGAACCTCATCAGTTCATAGAGGATTTAGAGTTCTCAAGCCCAGGTTCAATTTAGCATATTCAGATTTCAGCACATTAACTTCAGTATCAGGACTGCTTAGACGAAAAGTTCTGGTTTAATATAACCCTTCTGGTTTTTGAGAGTACTGATAAAACTGGCAAATTTTTAATACAGGTGCAATTCAAGTGACTGAAGTTGGAGAGGAATCCATCTTCAGAAATGAATAACCCTTATAGATTCATTAGTTACAGTGTGATATTCAGTCAATTCCAACAGTGCATTTATATAGTATGCATTTTGGTTGCATGCCAGTATACAACCCCATTCATGTTGTGCAATTTTAATGTATTTCACTTTACATGAAATATGAGCTTCTTGGGACCAAAAAAATTAAAATTACCAGTATCACTCTCAGTATCCTTAAATCTCTAGAGGATGCCTGTGCTAACCTCCTGAAGATGAAGAAAAAGAGTAACTACCTGAGGTTTGTCTGTTAAAGATAGTCTGAAATAAAGTAAACTACATCAGTCAGCACATGGATTTTTTTTAAAATCTCTTCTTATTAGTCAAAATATAATTTCTATATCTCTGCACAAAAATTTTAACTGTCTTTTTGCATAATAATATGAGTTCTAGCTTGTATTATACAATGATTAGTAGTATAACCAATGCAGGAAAAATGTGTTTCCTTGCAGACATCATCTTCCAGACTCCAATCAGTTAGCAACATTGCCTTTTAAAAATGATGGTCATGTCAAGGCATTTGTATTAGCTTCTACTTCTGCATTTCTGTTATGGCTTTGGTAGATCCTGGCTATACTGCTGATCCTGCAATTCAGTTGTGTCACGTTTGTGTCGGGTATGGACATGTTCGATCATGAAAGAAGAGTTTTTTTACAATATCCTTAGAAAAACCTAATTGATTATAGTTATAGGTTTAACAAGGTATTTTGGAGCCAGGGACCTATATTCACAACTATTAGATACATGTGGCAACATAGGACTTGTTATTCTGATGGTTCAAAACCATCAGAACGCACTCAAACCATTTTTGGGATTTGAACCATCAGTTAATTTTTTTCAGGCAGTTCGTGTGTGAAAAAAGTAAAAGAAATCATATTTTCTGACTCAGACTAGTATACCACTTTTTTTTTTTTTTTTGGTCAAAAATATCCAGGCATTTCTTTGGGAGATTTATTCAGAGAAACTCGCTTTGGCCCCTCAAAGACACAAATGACAGGTTATCAGGATATATATCTATCTCCTTAGGTATCAAGTATGAACTCACCACCCTAGGGTCCTTTACCAGTCAAAGCAAAGACAGACAGTCCTGAGGGAATTGATTCCATTATAAAATGGACATCAACAGTAAATAATAAGATTCACTCTGGATTTTCTGCTTGAAGACATCTAAAGTTAGGTAAGAGAAATCTCACCAAAATGTACAGAGCCCAGATTTGATACAAGGGTAAAGGAAGTGCTTTCATTAACAATCTAGCTGTTACAGTCCTTTTCTCTGATTCTACTTCCCTTTTTTTTTTCGAAAGGTAGATAGCTATGAGAAACATCATGTAAGTAAATATTTCTGTGAGCTGCATGGTATTTTAATTAAATAAATTATTTTCTGTAACCTCTAGATAGGAATGAGAAGTTAATTGAAACTAAAAATTGCTCAATTTACCCAAAGAATTAGAAAAAAATCCTTAACTGTCTTTGTTTCTTTGGCTCTGGATGACACAGTAAGGGAGAATGACTATGAGTAAATGCCTCTCTCAGATAGGAAAAATGCTAACATCAACAGTATGTGCATGTCAATAACCATCTTATAAAGAAAAAAAAACAAAAACCAGGGACCTCTAATCACATCTAATCATTCTTCTCTGTAATTTGGGTTTTTTCCCTCTCTGTGTTCGTAAGGTTTCTTATATTCACTAATCACTTATGCTGTCAAAAAACTAATTCTTTCTGGCAACTGACAATTTAAAAGAAAAGTATATTACAGGAAGGAGAGTGTCATTGTTTTTCAGAAATCTGTAAGAGCTATGAACAAATAGGACAATTCTAAAAATAAACCCGTGGATAATTATCATAAGCCCTAAGTCTCATGGCTACTTTACTGGATGTCTATGAGATAAAGTAAATACCAAGACTGGCATAATAGCTGCATAATTTAGGCTATTTACCTCTTATAAAACATTAGATTATTTTTTCTGTATTTTATGGAAACCAGTGTACTGTAGTCAGAAAAAAATCATGTAATAACACTGCATTGCCAAAATTCAAGTTATGCTAAGTAACCATAATTATAGTCTCATCAGAGCTGAAGTGTTTCAAAACACCTGTTAAATTTAGGTGCCTCTGCCTAGAGTTACAAGCAAATAAATCCACTGATTTAAGTAGCAAGAACCATTAGTAAACTGAAGTAAAGATGGTAAGAGAAAAAAACCAGAAGCCTCAATTGTCAGGGTGCCTAGTGAGACAAGAAAGGTTCTACATAGCAACAGCATTTTAAGTATGAATAAATAGCCATAAAGTTCGCTGGTACTGCATGGAAGCTTGCAGATGGCAGATGAATTCATGTCTGTCATGTTTTTATAATACAATGACTTTTACATATTGCTGCCAGATGGAACACAGTTTTGCATCTTGATTATAAATCTCAAAAAAATACAGCTTCCTTCAATGTGTTCCCTATATTTGAAACAAAAGCAAATTCAGAGACAGATTTGGGAAGCCAAAGCAGATTTAAGGAAATATAAATTAAATCCTCAAGGGCTTCCTTGTTATAATTCAATTCAAAATAATGGAGCTCCCCATGTGTTCTCAGTTTTTTAGGAAAACCACAGAAGGTATACAGGTTCCTACACAGGGAGAACCACACATTCATTTTTAAATGTAAATACATACCTGTAAATAGTCAGGTCCAGAAGACCTCTTAAATGAACTTAGTATTTGGAAGAATGTTTATATAACATTTATTCCCGCTTCAACAAAAAGTGGTATCTATCCCACAAGCTCAGATGGTAAGAGTATAGTGCATGAAGCATAAATGCATTTAATCATTGCTGATAACGAGTATCTGTATGTACACCACAGAAGTACCTTGCCTTTCCCATCATGACATCTTGACAGATCTAAAATCTAATTCAGATCTGGTTATACCACTTTCTGGAGAGATGCACTATGAAGAAAGTACAGGATTTTTGTATTTTATATGTATTCCTGCATCACACCTGGCTTCCTCCTGCGCGTCTGGTCTTTGCTTCTAATCCTAATTGGTATTGCTACGAAGCGAATAACTCTGATAGCAAAAAGTGAATTATGTGACTGCAGGGAAGAATATTTTCCTATTCAATGGTTTCTCACAGAGTCTGATTTGACAACAAACTTGAGTTGACTTCTCTCAGACAGCCTCAAGCATTGTTTATATGCAGATAATTCGGTGTGTGAACCCATTAGGCTTTTATGACAGTTATAATCAAATATGATTGGGAAACCTTCTGGCTTACTTGGATCCATACTTACATTGTGCTTTGTGAGGTTGGAAATGTTACTTGCTATTGCTTGTAGCCAGTCAATACAGTCTTCAGCAGAGAGACACTGAATTATTCCACTGCAAACCCCATCCACAGCAATTACTTGGAACGCATTTTGCCTATAGACATATCATAACAGATCAGGTCAGAAGAAAATTTTATCTTTTCTAGCATATCATCCTAACAATACTTGTAAAAATGCTTTTCTTTCAACTACAACGAAGGTCAGCCAGTGAACACCGATAAAATGCTGGTTCTCCTGTTTTATAAATACCTGATGTATTAAAACAATCATGCTAAAAGGTCAGACAATGCTAAGCTTCCATAAGGCTATAAAAGAATTCCATAGACCAGCTCCACAGAATCTTGACCAGCAGGCTGTACAACCTCAGAAGCCGAACAAGTGATAGAGCTGATGCTTATCTAAGACTTAATACAGCAGGCTACTGAGAAGGAAAGTGCATTAGAAACCATGGGCAATTATTTGGTAAATTCAGTGAATACCAGTATCTTTTTCTCAACACCTTTGTTTTATTTTTATAATACAGTGTCTAAACAGATTTGGATTATTGTCTGGAGCCCCCTTGTTGCCTGCTCAAGCTTATAGAATTTTGTTTCTCTTTTAAACTACTGATTGAAAACTTGAAGAAGTCAAAATTGATCAAGTAGCATTAATGATTTTTCCAACTGAATTTCTGAATATAGGATCATCACCAAAATACACTCCTACCTCTGCCTCTACCCCCAGCACCAATCTGGGCACATATACAAAAATCCATCATGCATTATATATTGATTTTCCACTTCTAGACACTGAGCAATTATAGAACAAGAGAAAATTTTTCAGATGCTTAAGTAGTAACAGACCTAATTTCTTCAGTAAATTGTTTTATTTGCTAAAAGCTCTTGTAAGGCTCACAGGTCTCTGTCTTCAAAACTGAAAAACCTCAATAACAGTCCATATCTCAGAGAGAATACTAAGTTCCACTGCTGACATTCTGCTACAAGCCCAACTGTTAATGATCAATTCATAGTTAAGATTAAGTACATCATTCAGATTCTTTGAGAATGGCTCAAGCAAATTGCCTGTTATCTCCAGGGTAGAACTGAGTGACACTAATGACAGCTTCTGGCACCTGAAGAGAGATACCAATTTTGAAAAGCTGTTTGTTTGGGGTCTTTTACCTCTTAAAATTTTATTCTAGTTGTATGCAGTGTAAGGCTAATATCTGTCTTCATCCATGTTGAGAACAGACTGTTTCTTCAGTCAGGAAAAGCAATAGAAATTAACTAGAGCCATACCTTTGCTTTGAGTGTTCTAGCATGAGAACCAGCTTTTGCAGGTTAATTAGGCTTATATTAACATGATCTTTCAGGGTTCTTTAGTTTATTTAAATCCAGCAGTTCAGTTGTCTTTCCCAGGGGTAGTGATTTTTCTTTAAATTCACAAAAATACCAACAAGACAGACTTCTTTCAGAGACTCATTTTCACAATAATTCTAGTAAAGTTTTGAGGAAGATTTATTAAAAGAATCTTCAGGTAGTGTGGCTAGCATTTATTTATTCTATCCTTTATTTTAGATGGCTATAACTAGAAATAGCAAATTTTTCCAGAATAAATTTCTAAACCTTTACATGAAGACCATAGCATGGGCTCAAAATTGTTGATGATCTCTTTTAAGAAAAAACCACCAGTTTCAGGATTTGCCTTGTTTCTACACAGCATATCATAAATCAAAGCAGGGATCTAAAATATCTATTAATGAATAACATTAACACAAGTACAAAAACCCCATTATGTTTCAGATTCAATCCTCATGCACATATTTCCCTTGGACTACAAACACAGTGAATATAGTGCAATTGGGGCATCAGATTGTTCCTACTGTTCCTAGGAATTTGATCTGTGCAAGTACAAAATCATTCGTCCATAATGTTATTACCCAAGTATCAACACCAGATTACTCAAATATCAATTGTATGATACATGGTCACCTAATAAAATACTTGTGAATGTGTCTTGGCAGTAGATAGCCTTAGATTATTGTAATAGTGTTTTCTTGAGTAACTCTACCAGCCCAAGTCCATAATACCATGCAAACCTGAAAACATAATATGTTAAATAGATGTTTTGTACTAAATGGAACAAATAGAATAATCACTTCATAATATACCAAAAAATTGGGAATGGATAAACACTTATTCAGCTACACATTTCAGGTTCTTGGCCTTCTGGAACACAAAAGCTATATTTGAAATAATTAAGCTTTGCAAGATCAATTTGAATGTCTTCTAGAATTCTGTCCAGATATTCTGCAGAATTTATGTGTTTCAACCAATCAACTGGAAAAGCTAGAATATGACTATGAGGTTTAATATTGTGTGTGAGAACAATATATTTCCATATTCAACTCTGAATTATAGAAGTTATTAAGCTTTACATAGTGAAAACAGCCTTGTAAATACTAACAATGGAAAATGTAATGCATTAGCTTTCATTTCATGTTGCTTCCTTATATTATTTTTAATATCCTTTCTTTTATGTTGATGTTTCTAGCAGTCTCTTAAAAAAGTATCTACCTTTCTCTCACAACAAATTCTGAGAGGGAGTAACATTTAAAAATGTTTACAGTAATTTAAAATAGTCATATAAACTGTCTTGCTAGCAACATAAAATGCTGGTTCTATGCTTTGAGAAAAACCCTCTCTCATACGCATCCTGCATTTTTGGGTTTTTTGAAGACCTACTTCCTCATGTTTGACAGATTAGAAGGACACAAGGAAAAAATTATCAGAGTAGTTTTTCAAGGTTTGAGTATGAGTTCAGGTATTTTGTTTCATATTAATATACCTTTGTTTTCTAGAAGTTCAGATCTCAGGTATATCATTACTACCCAAGACACTTGCTTTATTATATACAAGTTCCATAATATGAACTTTAAGCTTGTTTTTTATTGATGCTGAAGGCTGAATTTTAAAACCCTGGATCTCTGAACAGCTGCTTATGTGCTAATTTTCCATGTGAGTAGTTCTATTCAGTACCTTATTTGAAGTATACAGTAGAATAGATCTCAGATTTGGCTGTTATGGTTTTGAGTGCTTTATGCTTCACTGTTAAATATGGAGCTGAAGGCTCTCACAGAATTTTGTAAAATATCTCCTGCCTCTCTGGTGCCTTGATCCTGCTCCAGTTCAGTCCAGCCAAGAAGCCTTTGTAGCCTTTGGTTTCCACCTTGCCTCCCTGGGCCGGCCGCTGTTCCTCAACAGACCAAGGTTCATGTAGCCAAGTAAATATGACCCTGCTATTACTAGTCAAAAACTGCAGGCTGGCTTTGGCTCCAGAATGATCTACAATAGCTACTGCCTAACCTGCATTAATTCCAGCTCTGGAGAAATGGCTGGCAGACCTAGGCAGTGTAAGTCTAAGAAACAACAGCCCTAAGAACCAACTGAGGAAGTGGACAGCTTTTGTGCAACTTTTAAATGTTTACTGAGTACCAATAAGAAACAGTAAAATTAACCCCACAAAAATCCCAAACAGATTGAAGAAGACTTCTCTTCCCCCAGTCTCTGGGGGTTTCATAAATCCAGTCCTAGGAGGTTCATTAGAAGAAACTATGGAGTAACCTGTTCTGTACCTGTACACAGCTTTCCTGCAGATAATGTCTTCACATACTAGAGCTCGCAGATGTATTTCAGTGTGAGAACTTCATTCTTATATTTACAGATGATAAATGAATCCATACAATAGCTAGATCCTTAAAACATTTAACAAGTATGATCTTACATACTTGCCTTGTTTGACTTTGTAGCTACTTTCATTTCTATTTCATTGCTTTACAAACATTAAGCATTACAGAATATTTTGTCGTCCCTCCTAATTTCTTCTGATTTATTAGGATAATATTAAATTAAACAAAGTCAAGTTCCAGGTCTGTATTGGGTCTTTCTGAAATGAATTTTATTTTCCCCACAGCAGCCCTCATAGTATTGTGCTTTGTATTGGTAGATAGAAAGATATTGATTGCACAGCATTGTTTTGGCTACCCCTAAGCAGTATTGGCACAGAATCAGAGCTATTGTTCCAATATTCCCTCCTCACCAACAGGCTGGGGAAACAAAACAAAAAATAGCTAGGACAGCTGACCCAAACTGATCAAAGGGATACTCTACACCATATGACATCTGCTTAGCAATGAAAGCTAGGAGAAAGGAAGGGCAGGAGGGACATTAATTAGTTATGACACTTGTGTTCCAGAGCAACTACTACATGTACCAAAGCCCTACTTCCCAGGAAGTGACTGAACATCACCTGCAGATGGGAAGTAGAGAACAAATATTTTGGGTTTTTTCTTCCATGTGGGGCTTTTGCTTTATTAAACTGCCTTTATCTTTACTCGCCAGAGAATTTCAATCTTATTTTCCTCCCCTCCAGCCTGTTGAGGAAGGCAGTGATAGAGAAGCTTGGTTGATACTTGGCATCCAGCCATGGTCAACCCATCACAATAATGCAATAAAGTTAAACCTGACTATGAGCTTTGGACAGCTATACCAGTGATTGTGACAAATTTGCAATGAAATTAAATGTTAACACATACAAAGTAAAATCTGGGAAAAAAACTGTTAGTTATATGGAAACCGGTTAGTTATATGGTTAGTTATATGGCTGACTTCCCAGCCTAAACTGAGCCCCACCTGACCATGATGGTCTCCTTTAAAGACTGTCCCTAAGCCTTCTCTGTTCCTCCATGGGGAGAAGTGGGGTAGGATCATTTTCTGCATGGACTGCCACACTCTCTCTTGGCTTGTCTTCCTCATGGGGCAGTCAGCCCTTGCTGCTCTCAAACAAGATTATTTCACCCAATGTAGGTATCAGATTATGTTTTTAACACAAACAGAAGGAAATACATTTTAAAAATATAATCACATTGCAGAGCTCAATGCCATAATGCATTGCAAAAATCAAAGATATAAAAACAAGCCACTTAGAAAGAAGCTTTTGAGGACAGGAGCATTAGCAGCTATTAAATATGATGATGTATGTTTCATCTCAAACTGCAAAAGGTGCTGAGGACTAGATGTAAGTAGAAAGATCACCCATCATCTCCTCCCCATCATACCAGGTCCCAGTTGATGTCAGAGGAGAACATGAGCCAAGGTGGACCTAGAAAGACCTTTATGAAAGCTCCTATATTTCATGTATCTGTTAGCTGCCATGGAACTAATAACACAATTTCTCCAACAAGGCAACTCACTAGGGCATGCATCTGTCAACCAAGAAGTCAAGTTACAGCCTTCAGAACTTCTTTACCTGCACAAATCTGATCCTGGAAGGTACTGGGAAAATCGTGAATGAAGAAGTGGAATTAATCGAAGATCACACCACCTCTTCTCCCACCTAAGTCCTGGGGATGCTGGCCATGAGGAACATGATAACGTATCCTGAAAAACATTAAAAGGTTCTTCTCAGTTTTGAACTTCGTTGTAAGAACTCAGCAGATTTGGAAAGAATGAGATAGACTTCAAAGACTTATATTTAATTTGGCAGTGTTCCATTTTTGCCTAAATCATTTGTCATTAGTTTTAGTGAGCACTGGAAATATTCTGAATAGGGCCTCTAAATTATTCACAATGCAACCATAATTCAGTAGTTACCTGTGGCTCTGTACACATTTACATACATATCTTTTCTAATGATATCACCTCAAAACATGGTAATTTTTTGAATGGTTATTTGAATGGAATTTAACATGCTGAAGTGCTGAATATTTTAATTTTACCTACTTACAGAAGACATTGCTTATATGAAAACTGAACTTTATCATGTTTATGATCATATCTACAAAGAATGAGTATTTAAATATCTAGAGTCTAATTTGACCAGCCTTCTTAAAGAATATCGATTTGCATGAGAAATGCTATAGAAAGCTAAATTATCAACATCTGTTTCTAAAAATACAACACCTCTTTCTTTATAAAATGCTTTATAAAATAGTGCTAATGATGATGTTATTTTTCTGAGAGAGCAGGATTCTTCAAAGTGCCTTCTCATAGCAACAAAGGATGAAGAAAAGGCTGAGGTATTTAATGCCCTCTTTACCACAATCTTTAATAGTAAGACCAATTATTTGCCTGGTAGCAAACCTCTGAGCTGGGAGACAGGGATAGGGAGCAGACTGAAGCCACCATAATCCAAGGGGAAATGGCCAGTGATCTGCTGCAGCAGTTAGGCACATACAGGTCTATGTGGACAGGTGGGATCCACTGAAGGATAGTGAGGGAGCTGGCACAAGTGCTCAGTGAGTCGCCTTCCATCATTTACCAGCAGTCCTGGCTAACCAGCAAGGTCTCAGTTAACAGGAAGTTGGCAAATATGATGCCATCTACAAGACAGGCTAAAAGGAGGATTTGGGGAACTACAGGCCTGTCAGCTGGACCTGGGGCAGGTCATGGAGCAGATCACCCTGAGTGCCATCCCACACCATGTACTGGACAACCGGGGAATCAGGCCCAGCCAGCACAGGTTCATGTAAGACACATCCTGCCTGACCAGCCTGATCTCCATTTATGACCAGGTGACCAATCTAGTGGATGAGGGAATGGCTGTAGACGTTTTCAGACTGGACTTTAGTAAAGCTTTTGGCACAGCATTCTCCTGGAGAAACTGGCTGCTCATGGGTGCACAGTTCACTGGTGTCCTAGGGTGACATTATGATGCTTGTATCCCCAGTCATCTGTTATGTTTATGAGGCGGGGAGAAGAAGGAGCACAGAGTTTCGTTATCAGCTGCACTCTCCCCCACAGTCTTCTGGAACAAAGAACTCCACTGTAGTTGTGTGGGCATGGACGGGGCATAACGCCACACTCCCTTTGCTTTTTAGTTAGTTAGTTTAGCTAGCTGGGGCAGTCCAAGTTTTCCCTGGACTGTTTTTCTTTCCCTTTTTCTTGGAACCATTTGAACCTGCTCCAGATCAGGATCCAGGGAAACACTGAGAATTTGCACTTTGTAGCTTGCTGGGGCCTACTCTGGGCCACAGCCTTTGCCAGTGTCGGAGTGACCGATAACTGAGCAACCACCCACTGGAGAAACTTTCTGAATTTGTCATCTCTTTAGAGCAGTGGATGAGTTTTGTCATCTGGTATTGTTCATTTTGTGTGCTGGAGAGTGCCTTGCCTGTTATATAAACATGTTCTTTCCATTTCTCTCCAAGGAAATTTTTACGAACCGGTTTGGGGGACAGGCTGTGTGGGCTGGCTTTTTGGGGGGGTCCCTTTTGGAGGTTTTCTCCCAGATTTGCCCTAAACCAGGAAAACTGGGTAAAAAAATGGCTGGATGGAGAGGCCCAGAGAGTGGTGGTGAGTGGAGATACATCCAGTTGGTGGACAGTCATGACTGGTGTTGTCTAGGGCTCAGTGTTGGGGCCAGCACTGTTTAATATTCAATATTGATCTGGAAGAGGGGATGAAGTGCACCGTGAGTTCACAGCTGACATCAAATTGGACAGGAGTGCTGATCTGCTGAAGAGTAGGAAGGCTTTGCAGGGGGATCTGGACAGACTGAATCAATGGACTGAGGTCAATTGTATGAGATTCACAAGACAAAGTTCCAGGTCCTGCACTTTTGTCACAACAACCCCAGGCAGCACTAGTGACTAGAAACCTGCACGATGAGAAAGGACCTGGGGGTGCTGGTTAACAGCAGCTGAACATGAGCCAGTGTGGCCAAGAAGGCCATCAGCGTCCAGGTCTGATCAGAAATAGTGGGGCCAGCAGGACCAGGGCAGTGACTGTCCCCCTGTATTTGGCACTGGTGAGGCCACACCTTGAGCGCCATGTTCAGTTCTGTGCCCCTCACTCCAACAAGGACATTGAGGTGCTGCAGCATGTCCAGAAAAGGGCAACATGGTTGGAAAAGGGTTTGGAGCATAAGCCCATGTGAGGAGCTGCTGGAGGAGCTGAGGTTGTTTAGCCTGGAGAAATGAAGGCTCAGGGAGACCTTATCACTCTCCATAACCACCTGAAATGAGGCTGTAGCCAGCTGAGGGTTGGCTGCTTCTTCCAAGTAACAAATGACAGTATATCAACATGTCAGTAGAATTAAACCTGCTGATTTACATTCATTTTAATCTCAGATTTCTTTTTTTCTTTTTACTGGTATCTTCTATAATATAAATATTACCAAAATTAAGTACACCTTATATTTTTCTAGAGTGTGCATTCTATGTAAGATCTATGGAATTATGAAGCTATACCAATTTGAACTTTGCTTTTGCATATATGTTCATCTATCTTTTATGTATATGAAACAAAATATCACAATAAATATCATGTTAGAATGAGCAGCAAGCTTTTCATAGGTAGTTCACTTATTTAAAACACTGAATTTCTGGTGAGAAATTCCACAGATGCAATAAAAATAAATAAATTATTGGCTAGGAAGACTATGCTAGGATGTTGTTTTGAACATCTTGAATTTTTAATGTTTTCTCTCTGCTTCTGGGAACCTTTCTTCACCTGTGATTAAACTTAAGGAAAAGATGAAATGCAATAAAAGTTCAAGTACAAACTGTAGGCCTAGATATGGCTACAACAAAAATGGTAACCCTGACTTTAGACTGCATAACTCTGTAAACTGTTGACAAAAGACCAAAGTCTTGTCTACTCCAAGTTCTGAGTCAAAAGCCTCCTTCGAGTGAATGAAAAAGGCTATAAAATTAAGAAACAAGACTGTGGCTGTACATCACAGAATCATGGAATGTCTGAGTTGGATGGGACCCACAAGGTTCATCAAGTCCAACACTTGTCCCTGTACAGGACATCCCCAACAATCTCACAATGTTCCTGAGAGTTTTTTCAAACTCTTGCCCTCTGTGAGGCTGATGCTGTAACCACCTCCCTGGGGAGCCTGTTTCAGTGTTCCATCCTCTAAGCAAAGAACCTTTTTCTAATATCAACCTAAACCTCACAGACACAACATTCCCTTGGGCCCTATCACTGGTCACACAGAAGAAGAGATCAGTGTCTGCCTCTCTTCTTCCCTTCACAAGGAAGTTCTAACTGCAATGAGGTCTCCCCTCAGCCTCCTCTTCTTGAGGCTGAACAGACCAAGCAACCTCTTCTCATACAGCTTCTCCTCCAGATCCTTCAGCATCTTCCTTGACCTCCTTTGGAGCTCTCTAACAGCTTTGTATCTGTTTTATACTATGGCACCCCACACTGCTCCCAGCACTCGAGGTGCAGCAGTCCCAGAGCAGAGCAGAGCAGGACAATCCCCTCCTTTTCCGGGCTGGCAATGCTGTGCCTGATGCAACCCAGGACAGGGTTGGCCCTCCTGGCTGCCAGGGCACTTCTGGCTCATATTCACTTTGCCATCGACCAGGACCCCAGGTCCCTTTCTGTGACACTGCTTACCAGCTTCTCATTCCCCAGCCTATCTGTACATCCAGAGGCTCTCCTCCCAGGGACAGAATCCAGCTCTTGCCCTTGTTAAAATTCATAAGGTTGGTGGCTGCTCAGCCCTTAGATTTGTCAAGGTCTCTCTGTAAAGCGTCTCTGCTTTTGAGGGAATCAAAAGTTCCTCCGCAAACTTATTTAGTATCCCTTTGAGTCCTGAACCCAAGTCACTGATTAAAATGTTGATGAGCACTGGGCCTAAGATACAGCAGAACCCCACTAGTGACCAGTCACCTAAATTTACTCTGTTTACTATAACTCTTCATGTCCAAACATAAGCCAGGTGCTCACTGATCATGTTTATCCAGCTGTCATAATTCCCTCTAGAAAATATTCTGAGAAAAATGAAGAGCTGTGGCATAAGAGTTGTACACAACTCAGGAATTCATACAGAGGTTTGGTTTTATGAAGAACTCTGTTCCCATGACAAGGGGACATGTCAGAACCACATCTTGGTCTTCACCTGAAGATTTAATTTAGGGTGAATTATATGCTCATGATACCAGATTATATTATTTAAACTGAAAGAAAAACACTTGGTTTCAGTAAATTATTGTCAGTTCAACAGAAACTACAGCTCATCTAGATCAGTTTTGACATCTGCAAAAAGAGAATTCACAAATGAAAGCATGACTTTATCATAAAAGCAAAATTAGAATTGTAGCAGCTAGTTGAATAAATCAGTTTAGGATCTACTGCCATAGCCTTTTTACATACAGACATACATACCTATATAGACTCCTTAGAAAAGTCTGATTTTGTTGTTGCTGCACCAGTTACATGTATTTTTATTGTTATTTGATATCAATTTTATTGATGTTATCTATTTATAAATTCCACTTCCTAAAACGTTCAGAATTCTCAAGGGTTTTCCAGATTGTAATTCTGTTTAAATCTGTGGTATTGATATTTAAATCTGTGGGCTGCTATTTAAAACATTTAATAGAAAATATGAAAGTACAATAAAACAAGATGGAAATGAAATGGCTGATCAGTATGGCTTATGTTTCAGGTTTTTAAATTATGATCTATATTGGTTTATTTTTCTATTTTCATGTATCACAAAACCAAATACTGAACAAAAAACCCTTAGATCTATATAAAATAAAGGAAATTTTGCATTTTCTGGCTAAGAAAAATTTTTAAAGGCCCTTGTTGCACTTCAAAGGTGTCTTTTATTAAATATCTGATCAGACATCTGTAGCTTTTTATCCCAGAGACACTCTGCTCCACAATGTTATCCCACTTCAGGTAAGATTTCAAGTAAACATTACCAGAAGTAGAATACTCTCACTTTAAAAACAGGCAAAAAAATGTACCTAATCATCTTTTGAGAAAAGCTTTAGAAAATGCATGTAATATAAGTAATGGAAAACATTCTCAAAAACTTTTCTCCCTTTTTTATAAATAAATATATTTTCATTTGAAGAATTTTAATTCTTATGCAGAGAAAAAAATGTAGAAGGAAAAACTTTTGCAAAATCCCTACTGCCCAAGTAAACTGTAATCTCATGCATCATGGCACAATCTCAGCTGTAATAATTTGCCACATTTAATTCCCAGCCATAATTTCTGCCTACTCTTTTTTCCCTCTACAGAACTGTCTGTCTCCAGAGTTAGCTAGAGCTCCTCCCTGTTAATGTCCTTTATTAGTACTTCCACTTAGCTATTATACTATAACTACTCTTCTGTGTAATTCCATCAAGGAGATTCAAGTTCTTACCGTGTTGTTGGGGTGGTAGTTGAGATGCAAACCACTGTCACATAGGGGAGAGGATGTGCCACTGCTTTGGTCACTGGGGGCACCTAATACAAATACAAATTCACAAAAAAATTCTTTGTTAATCTATAATTAAAATTTGTATATGTACGAATGCATTCTCCCCAAACCTAAAAAACTTCTATCATATATAACACTCATTTACTTTCTCCATTCAGCCAATATCTCTTTTCTGGCTTGAGTGGATTGCCTTTGTAAGCTAAATGGAGGCTCAAGAAAACCTTTCCCAATGCTTTGATTAAAAAAAGTTAATGTCTGCTTGGTAAGAAAAAAATCCCACAATGTTTCTTTCAAATTTGACAATAAAAGGGAAGTGTATACCTTCTCTGTCAGCTTTTACTGGAAAGAATTTATCAGATAACCCTTTTGTTACTCTCAGTGGAGTTTACAGTTCTAAATGTTCTTGTAATGTTTTAGGAAATTACAGTGCTGCTCCTCAAAAGTGACATGATAGGACCCATGCAAATGCACATTCCTGTGCATCACTCAGGCCACTCTGTGATACCACAGCCTTTCATAAAAGGAAGAAGGTACTAGGATACATTTTTATTTAAGAATACAGTGTTCCGATTTTTTTTCTTGTTTCATATAAATTTAATACATAGGCAAAATAAAAAGACAATGTTCCATCAAATGTTTGTATAAAATGCTATTTCATTATTTAGATTATTTAATTCCTACTAACTTAAAATTAAAGGCTGTAAGTATCCAAATCAAATATTTGTTGTTATGTTGCTTTAAACTTGAGCAATTTAATTTACTCTCTTAGAGAGCAAAAAGCAGAAGGAAAGCAGAGGTGGCAATAGGCACAGGCTGATATATAAATATGGTTAGATATGCTGCAATTGTCTATAATTATGCATCCACACTTACAATTTAATATAATTAAAGGAAGACAGCTGTCTCCATATGACCCTCATGGGGCTAGTTCACTAAAACTCAGTTTGGACTAAAACAAAATACTTATCATTCCAGAGTAATTTATTCTTAGGCAGACAGACATCTCCACCAAAGCCTCTGAATTTTAAACAGCAAAGTCCTCCAAATATATACACACAATCTCATTTTCACATTTACAAGAATAAACTCCCTGGGACTAAAATACTAGCTGATGCTGCCCAAAAAATTGATTTTAAATACTCTGCACCAGGATGTGAGCTATTGCAAACTAATGTAATTCTACTGTTTTACCTGCAACTTTACTGACTCACTCCAGCCAAATGCCTGGTTATCTGTTTTTTCTACCATAGATAGCATTTTTTCTCTTGAAGTCAGTGTTAACACAAGCCCTGGCAATAGGATCAACTCATATTTAGACACCAATGCTGATTGTAACAGCTGCTGTCAATCACCCTCAATGCACAGTAGTTTCAGAAGCTGCAAGTGTTCATGGGTACTGAATTGAGGGTTCTTTGGTCATGTAATAAAGGCTTACATGCACAGTCTTCATTCAGTGGCAGCTTGAGAAAAGCAGGTGCTCTTTTCAGAAAGGACACAGTTAGGGTCACTTCTTCCCCCGCATTGCGAAGGACCTGTACCTGGAAAAGAAATAAAGGCAGACACCTTGAAATAAACATATTATCAGAATGCATTAGCAAATGTAAGCAACACCACACAGCTTTCCCATTCCAGAATGTAACTGCTTAGCAGTTTATTGCAATTACATTTGTTTGAGAAGAAGGCAAGACGTGAAGCTTGCTATGCGCTTGTCTATTGTGTTCCTAGCCACACATACAGTTAATGGGGTGAGAGGGGCATTACCCTTCTGTATTAGTACTGGCTTTGACCTGTGCAGACTTTCTCCTTGAAAATATTCTGCTAGGTAACTTCTTCTTTCAGGTCTGGAATCATCCCCCCTAGCATGTATTTATTTTAAAAAAGAAATACATACTTTTCTCTTTGCAAATATATTTTCTCTTGTCTTATAAATCCTCAACCAAAACAACAGCAGTAGTTTCCACAGCTGTACCATAATCCTATAAGCAAGTCTTTCCAACACTCAGAGTTAAATTTAGCTGACGCGCTCCAGCATGGATGAGAGACCTAATCTTCATCACAGACACAGAGGAAAAGAACCTATTTTAAGCCTTAAATCTTAGATAAGCACAAGCTTAGGTTTTGCCATGCCAAAGGGCAGCTTGCATTTTGGACACAGAATGTGCAAAGAACCTATCCAGTTGGGAATACTTTTAGCCTTCCTGTACTCTCCCCATAGTTACCCTTTCGGCTTCTGTTCATCTTTAGCTTTTGTGGGAGACAGCTGTAGACACCCCAAACAAACAGCAGAATTAGGACTCCAGGCACCTCCCAAGAGTAGCAGTAAGGACACAAAAGCAACTAAGCCAAATGCTGCATTAAATGGCTGAGGAGGAACATCTGAATTGGTTTATGAGAGCCAAGAACAACCAGATCTGTTTCAGAGAACAACCATTTCCTGTTCTGGCTCTATAACTTCAAAATTCTTCAAGGGCTGATTTAATTTGGGTGTACAATGACAGAATGTCATGTCTCTCTGAGTGACTGTGTTCATACTGCGAAGAGCCAGATCACAGGCAGCTGAGAGCTGCTGTGAGAGAGAGCTGCTACACAGTGAGACATTAGACAATCATTTTAAACTAGAACATATCTCCTCCTTTTCTCCTGTGTAGCTGGAGAACACATAGGCAACTCTTCTATCATGCTGCTGCTTGTGAGAAAGCCTTGTAAATAATTCATGAAGCACTGTTATTCTTTGATTATGCTTGTCAATAACCTACTCAACAGAGTTATTTACATGCATGTGTATAACTATACATTGGGATGCTTTCACATGCAATCACTGCATTATGGTGTAAACTTAAAGTAATTCTTCAGGAAAAAATGTCAACTTTGCCTTCAAACACAATATTGCCTACTCCAGGGTGGTTGCCACAGAGGACTGAAATATGATGACAGAATATTTGATTCAGTAACTGAAATTTTAGGGTCTTTATTGTTTAAAATAGCACAGTGGTAGCCAATGCACATTTTGCAGTTTAGTATGGATTTACAAGCATGGGTGCAAATAAACACAGAAACACCACAACAGATTTAATAACTTATACTGCATCCAAAAACTTAATCTGTAACACAGAATCATGGAATCACTTTGGCTGAAACATGAGTCTCTTTGATGAGCTGTTCCCAGTTCTGATGCATTTTCTATCTTAAAATTTGTAAGAAGCAATTATTTCTTAGACAGATGACTTGTAATGTGCAGAAAAGTAGACGAAGACTCTGAAGTCCTGAAGTCAATGGGAGATACCATCCTATATCCTCAGCCTCCATAGAAAATTCATTCTTTTCCTCCCTTATGTAGCAGTCACACAGTTCAGAATAGTAAGAACCAAAGCAGAAACTTACAGGTATGTACTCTGTATTGGTTTGACAGATGTGGACAGACAAAGTGCAGGAAAATACAGCTACTCTTTCTACTGTTAAAAAAAGGTATTCCTTTTTTACTCAGGAACAGAGAATAAAAAAGTGAAGAAGTTACAGCATTACTAACTTTAATTTATAAAGTCACCTTTTAAGATAAGAGTAAGTGGATATCATCTGTGAAAGAAGCTGAGACAACAACAGCCCTAAATCGTTCTTCCAAGAGTCTACATGATTTCACTTGATAATATATTGCTTTGCAAAGCCTGTAAGAGGCCATAAGTAGCCTACTGTGACTTTTTTCTCTTACCTCTCTCTCCCTCAAACCTCTTTATCTCATAGGATGAAAACTTTAAGCTGGAACACAGTTCAGTTGAAATCAGCAATACTTATTCAGTGAAATGTATTTTGGAGTGTATGAAGCATATAATCCAGAAAGTGACTAGATTTTGACATGCAGAATAAAGACTAAAGAGAGATAAAAGAGAAAACTACTAGGTAATGATTACAACAAAGAGCAGATGAGTTATCGATTCCATTTTGCTTACTTTCTAGTCATTAACAATACCATTCTGGGAAATAAGGTTAGGTGAAGAAAATGAGCATTTTAATTACTTTATTGTCTTTTTCTAGCTTTCAGTTGAAAGTTTTACTGTTATTTTACATTCTTTGTCTTTAATTTACATATGAAATGAAAAATCAAATTAGTAAAGATAATGACAAATAACAGTCTGTATCAGTACTGAATTTAAATTAGGGCCTTGTTCCCATTGTGTATAAATGGTCAACAAAAAATTCAATATTACTGAAACATAGCTATATAAGTAAAGAGATTTTCAATTTACTACTGCTAATAAAGAAGCCATGTCTAAATTTGCATAAAATAGAAATATTTAAAACATTTTGTCATCCTGGTTGATGGCAAGTGGAATATGAGTCACCAGTGCCCTGGCAGCCAGGAGAGCCAACCATGTCTCCTGGGCAAAACATCTCCAGCTGGGCAAGGGAGGGGATTGTCCTGCTCTGCTTTGCTCTGCACTGGGGCAGCCTCACCTTGAGTGCTGGGGGCAGCATAGGGAACCACAATATAAAAAAGACATCAAGCTATTAGAGAGTGTCTAAATGAGAGCCATGAGGATGGTGAAGGGTCTGAAGGTGAAACCATACGAGGTCACTTGTGCTATGTTCAGCCTGAAAGCGAGGAGACTGAGGGGAGAACTCACTATGGCCTTCAACACAAAATTCCCAGTGCTAAATACAGGGAATATTTGTATGAAAAAAATTTAACTCAGCAGTAATCCTAACATTTCCAATTTCCCAAGAGGTTATATATTCTTATTGTAGGCCATGGAGAAACTCCCTTCAGAAGAGATCTGGCAATTTCTAAAACAATGTGTCCTAAATTGCAGAAAATGCATGACCAGACACCATTAAAAAGAATTGCTTATTGTTTGGATCATTGAAAGGCAATGATCTATTTTTATTTTCACAGGCTATATAGACTATTCAAGATAATCTATTCAAGATTAGTCAAGATAGATTTTTTTGTTAATATTTTGGAGATATTCTGTGAAGCCTTAGATTTTAGGCATATGAATTTACCTATGTCAAGTTTTAATTTTTCTAGTTGAAAATGAATAATAGTAACACTTAATATGTTGATATAGAAGTTGTATGGATTATCATATAAAAAGATATTTAGTACTGCTGTTATTACTTTATTTAGCTTTATGTTTTTATTTCAACTAGTGAATAATACCAACTATTCATTTGTTGGTACACAGCATCTAACGAAATCACCCCTGTAACAGGAAAAAGCCACAACAAAGAAAAATCTTAGCATATCCTCATCAACATTATGGCTATATATATTGAATTCCTGCTGCTGTTTTCAAAACCATATAATATATTTTTAATTCAAAATGAGTACACATGGAAAGACCTATACAAAAGGAAGCATTAAATATTGTCAATAAACTTTGTTATGCAAAGTATAACCTTACTACCAGCAGGAGCAAGAATTAATTTACTTCTACAACAAATAGCCCTATATAACGTTAGGATGTTCACGAATGAAATGAGATAGGTAAAAAACCCAGTTGTGCATGTCTGAGCCAGTAGCTGTGTGAAATAGTGACAAGAGAGTCAGAGTTTCTGGAGCGACAGTGACTATATTTTTATGCAATAACTGTAATGACTGTAAGGGAGCTATTTGAAAAAGTAAATTTTATGGTGATGTGTGATATTGCTGAAGAAAATATCTACATAGCAACAACACTAATCCAAATTTTTAATAATGTCTACAATGATACTGCCTTTTAATTTTATAAACCCTTTCAAATTCCCAGTTCAAGAAAACATTTGAGCATATGCTGAAGTCTCTCTCAATATATTCAGGAAAGCAATGAAGGATGAAGTCTCTTCTGTAAGTATTCTTTCCTGAATAAGACTGTAAATCCCCTCTCAAATTACCAGCGAAATTTACACACCAATAAAGTGGTAAGGATTTAAAACAGAACACTTATTTAGATCCCAAGATCTATATTCTCTTGAATTGAAGCAAATTTCACTCTTCAGTTTTTAAAGAAAAATTCAATTTCTTGGTGAATACTTGAACTATACCGATTGGGAAAACAGAAAAAAAAGAAAAGGTAGAAGACACCTTTCTAGCCACTTTACAGTTGCACAATGCCCAAGCATCAGGTCCATCAGCAGATAACAAAACACACATTTTAACACAATCACACAGAGGTCAAAACCTACAAGGCTTCCTGCACACAACTGTCTTGGTTTGTGTTTATTTAAAAAATCTACTACTTTATTTAGTAAAAGTGCCATGTAATTAATACAGAATCATTAGGAACACACCAGTGCATAGTGAGTTTTTAATTCCTATGACCTAATATTTATCACGGTATTTGCCAATAATTGAAGCTAATCAAGAAATATATTATCAAGAGGTATCAAAGCTTCTTCCCTTCAGAAAACTTCTCTTTCCAATATACAGAGCAAACTGCGTATGGTGTATATGGCTGTATATAGAACACAATTTTATGACAAAAAGTTCCTATTCAGACTGCACAACTAAAAGTACACTTCAGACTATAGTTTGACACTATCACAATTGCACATTTTAAATTTT